GAAACAATGATTGATGTATCTGATAGTCATGAAAAAACCCACCAGGTCGCTTCTGTCGAGCAACCCACCTCGAGAAATAAAGTCGGTAGAACGATTCCAACCCATGCGACGAAGCTTCTGGATGCCTTGAATAAAACATCCCATTGGGCATTAAAATCTATCAACCTTCAACCCGAACATGTCTTGAGGTTGAAACGTCCATGTGTTCTCGATAGGAGGCTTGCCGATATTCACAGGGTTGAGGGGGATCTCAAGGCTGAGAACAAATCTAAGATGGTAAGGGGTCTTGCTCAGCGCTCGCTTGCACTACAGGGTGAGAGGGCCGGCTTTCTGAATGTTGAAGAAATGTGCGAAATTGCTTCTTATAGGGGAAAAGGAAAGGTCAATCGAGGACGACAGGGAACGATATCTTCCTATGTGACTTGTGACCTGGCTATACAGAAAGAGGACAAAAGTTTTGCCATCAGAGCCGTTCAAGCGGGCATGAGGCAGTTGGTAGTGGAACGACTGCTCAAAAAAAGACTTCAAGAAGCAGGGTACTCTACCACGGCATCGGGAATATCTGCATTTACAGCTCTTGCTGTCCGACCGTTCAGATCTCTAAACTACAGGGAAATTCCAGAGTTTCTGGATCTTCTGCTTGACTCGACTTCAATTGGTTCGTCACCCTCAGAGGGTAACCCAGCGACGGACAGTAGTTCCTCGGTATCCATCGCAGATATCATCCAAAAGACTTCAGTATGGTTTGATCATCTGCAGACACATTACGACAGTAGGTCTCATTGTTTCGTACTTTGACCTTTGACTGATGTTGCCTTAGAGTTCGTTGATCCTTGTACACATTCGGAGGAACAGCGATTCGGTATCTCACCTTCACCCATCCTGAGCAATAGTAGGAGTACACGTCACCCACCTGATAGTCCAGGAGACACTTTGAGATCATTCCACGAAATGGATGATTCAAGGGAGACAGATGTGCTAGCTCCTCCCCGAAGCGTAAGCCCTGGAATATCAGATGCGGAGGGCGCATTGAACGTCGCCCAATTACACACATCACCACCATCATCATCAGCGCAGGTGTATGAAGGCCGAGCCAAAGGTCCTCGCTCTAACACGACAGGGGTGCTGGCGTGGGCAGATCCTGATCTCAATGACTCTTTGGCAAATTCGGCTATCATTCATCATGTCGATGATACAGCCAACCAATGCCAATCTCCTTGCCAACCTGCAACAAATCAAATCACTCCGGCTTCTCATTCTCCGCCATCAAATGATTCATCTGAACAATCATTCCTTGAAGGCTCAACCGATGGCTCCTTATCAAATGACCTGGCTGGTCAGTCATCTGATGGTAGCTACGTCAAGGGGGTAGCAAGCCGTTCTAGTGCAATGCATTCTTCGTCAGGTACGAATCTCAATTCAGAAGCAGTGGATATATTATCCCCTGGTTCAGACACATATAGTCATCATTTTCGTCCCAGCGATGCCAATCAGCCAAGTGAGACTATCGCTTATACTGGCGCCGAGGAACTAGAAATTTTGCTGGACGAACAATCAAGGAAAGTTGCTGGCCAGTCAGAGCTTGGCTTACCGTCAGAAACCCATGTTTATGCCCCCGGCCTACATACACAACTTACTGAATCCCCCTACGATCCCCGCTTCAATATACAACCGATCGACCTCCTATACGATCCTCGATTCAACATACAGCCGATTGAGCCCCTATACGATCCGCGTTTCAACATACAACCTATTGACTTGATCTACGATCCACAGTTCAATATACAAGCAATGGATCCCCTATGTGATCCGTGTTTCAACCTACAACCTGTTGGCCTACACGATTCTCGCTTTAATGCGCAACCGACCAACACTCAATTAGATGTGCAGCAGGTCTTAGACCCGCAATTTTCTGCGCAGTCGAGTCACGTTCACCAGTCATCCTTTCATACGCAACAAACCACACCCAGTATCCAGAACGATATATCGGCTTTTAATTCGGGCTCGCCTGATCTGCTTGCGATCCTTGACTTGTCAAACCCACATGAGACTAGGTCTCTATCAAGCAGTGACCGGTTGACTCGGGTACTGGACTGTTCGGCATAAAGCCAAGATGAATCGTTGTCCTTCCACTTATAAGTACATACATTGCTTCGAGGTATATTTTGCATGAAGGAGCTAGAAAATGAATAATCCATTGCGAATTTTATACAGAGGCTAGATTTCAAGGACGAGCAATAAATATTACTGCCGTGTCTGGGCTTAACACAGGCTCGTCCTCGATATGCGTGTACGTCCCTTCTTCAAGTGAACCGCCTGGGGTGATCGTTGCGCCGCCAGAAAGCGGAATCAAGTACATATCCTTCAATACGTTCATTACCCCCCGTGACTTTCGAAAATAAACGAGCGTCCATCCCCATCCCTGATGATGGTCAGTAATTTTCAGATGCCTTTATTCCATCTACTTACAGCACCTATCGGCAGTTGCTGAACCAAAGCGGAAACCCTTTTCCCAAGTAGCTCCCCAACGTATTCTTTGTTTCCCTCTGAATCCTCACTCAAAACTGTAGCTAACTGCGGCTGGTCTTCTTTGATATCGCAAGATTCTGGTATCATTGACTTAATTTGCCTTCGGAGGTTCTCGGCATGTCGTGGAAGATTTTTGGTCGTCATGTTCGGTAGAGGGTATTTTTTGGGCTAAAAGTAATCTGTAAAGTGAGAAAAAGGAAACTGTAAAAAGTACTTGAGAGCATTCTTACCCACCTCGTTGGAAGTTTTTGTTATCTCGCGTAGTGAAATGGGTTTCCGCGAAGCGTAAAGCAACGGAGGGGCAGAAGCGGATGCGGGGCCTTACGGCCCAACTTGTGCACGTGACCCATTGTTTTGTAAGTCTTTTTTTTTCCAACCGAAGGCAGCGAATGCAGAGTGATCTCTAGCCAAACCTCAATTCCCTGACAGTATGCTTTGAAACTGTCCCGATTTTATGTATTATGTAAGCGAAAGCTACAGGGTTGCTTTACACAGCGCAAAACAAGCCTCAATTTCCACCCAGTTGACGTCCTTCCGCATGGTTAGTAATACTAGATCATAATTATGACTTGATATTAAAGAACAACAAGTTCCGAAGGCTGGTTCCTTTTTCAAATGCTACATGGGCCCACTGGTTGCAGTCAATATACCCAGACGACGCCGCCCAGGCGAAGGCTTGTTTCCAGAGATTTTCGAAGGTTCTGAGAGTCCGACGCAAGCTCCTAGGAGTCAACTTCAGGTCAATGAGGGTCTCACGTATCCGTAGATGAGGATAGCGTCTTCCAGATGAGTGAGAAACCAATATCAAAGAAAGATATAGTCGGCTCTAGATAGAAGACGTAGCGCGAGGAAGCAAAGAAAAGGTAGCTTCGTCGGGTTCAAGGGAATCCAGACGTACCATGTGGGTCCCGCAGATCATATCTCCATCCGTTCTGTTTGCTTCATGTAATTAGTTATATACCTGACAGGTACTGTAGAATCCATTTCCCTATAAACCAAAATTAGCCTCAGGAGCTAAAGTGTATCTCAACGTGATTCCAGGAGCTGGTTCACTCCCAAAACATCAGACACATTTCGCGGGACCGTCGACCAACGATCTACTCTGTGTAAACATCTATCTATCAAACTTTGTATTTGTAAGAACTTCAACTAATGGACCCTAGAAACATGTAAGTGGTCTAAGAATTACGTAGCCCCAGCAAATCATACGTAGCTTGTAAGACTATCCATTATCCCTACAGTATCAAGAAATCAGTCACATTCCTGTTGACGGTTCCATCGGTGTAGGAACTCATGTCTTGGCCCTGGGGGTTCTTTTGCTCCCGGGGGCCTTTCAAAGGTTCCTGGGAGCAAGAAAGCTGCTTCTGGGAGTGTGAGGGTCTCACGTATCCGTAGATGAGTGATCAATAATAAAGAAAGCTACAGTCGACTCTAGATACAAGACGTAGCGCGAGGAAGCAAAAGAAAGGTAGCTTCCTCGCGTTCAGGGGAACCCATATACACCATGTGGGTCCCGCGCAGATCATTTCTCCATCCGTCCTTTATGCTTCATGTATATCTCTGACAGGGAGCCACGTTAGCCCCCAGGAAATCCGACGTAGCTTCTGGGGTCTAGTACTTTCACCTCCTGGAACCTCAAGTGCGGTCCTAGGGCTATGGCTAAGCCTTTCCGGGAGTAATCGAATTACGCAGATTTGTGCGCAGGTCTGGTGAAGGTGTCTTGTGAGGGCTTTCCGCGACCCTAGAGGGCATAATATTGACTCTAGGATCCAGAAGTAGGGTCCCAGGAGCGCGACAGCTCCCAGATCCAGCCAATGTGTTCCCAAAACCAGTTCGTATTCAATCAGGATCATATAGTCGAGATCCCAGGGGTAGAACTCGGTATCCTGGAAACAGAAATTGGCGCCAGGAGCTAAAGAGGAGTTCCCAAAGAACAAACAGCCCCCAGAATTGCATTTGGTGTTTCCAGGATCTATGTGTTAGTTCCCAGAGGCAGATTACCAATGATTGTCGATCAATATAGATGAGCTAGTTTTGTTACGTCGTGAGGCGGTACGGATAGAATTGTCGAGACTCGCCAGCCGACCCGCGAGCTGTTTTTCTGCCAACATGGTCCGTCTTCGCGCTCCACAAGGCTCAGCTGAACTCGCTGTCGGCATTACTCTAGCCGCCGCCGTTAAGTATGATGTACAAACAACTTTTATTTCCTGATTCTCGGTAACGAGCTAAATGAGGAAAACTTCCAGTAGCATTTTTAGGCTAGTCAACATCTAGCACTTGCAAATGTGAATTAGTGGAGAAGTGCTCTGTGGGGTTAACGATCAGGATTTCATTCATTTGGTTGCTAAGCTTGCTCCAAAACTCTATATCTCTCTGTTGCTGGTCCGAATGCCGCGATCTGGTCACGTGCTGTCACGTGCGTCAGACCGCTGCATCGCTAATTTCCTATTCTCATTCGCTGTGAAGGATGATCAGTTACGCTGGGTGGAATTCAGTCGTGCCGACCGGCGAAGCGGTGCAGAGGTAGACGGCTCTCGCGGTAGATGAGCCCCTGCCACTCTGGCTGAGCGACGGGGCCCACTCTGCTCGACTGACACCCGTGGGGATCCCGTTGATCGCTGAGGCAGCTGACTCTGACGAGGTTCGTTTGGTGCTGAATTCCTGACGGTGACAGGCTCTCTATTGGCTGATGGCTCGCTTGCCGAGGGGACTCGGACTGGACGAATCAAAGCGTCTAGACTTCCTTCGTTTCGACTGTATTCATCAGCATCCCGACATTGCAGAACTGAGATCATTTATACTAACCACACACAGCATGACGTGCCAAAGCCTGCCCGTCGCTTTTCCAACCACTCTTCCGCGCAGGATAGATGGGCCTGCGCTCGGCACTGATCGCAACGCAGGATCACGCATTCGGTTGCTTGTTCCTCGTCCTCAGCCAAACAAAACACACAGTGAATCTCGTCGACATCTTCACTCAAGCTGAGGTTCTGCAGCGACAAGTCCTGGACACCGGCCCAGATATTAGTGACCGAGGTCAGGATAGCGGGTCGAGCCGGCGAAACGTGCCATGATACACTGTTGGTCCGCAGCATTTCGGCAGTCACAAAGGGATTGATTGATTGCACTGGCGCAGGGCTAGTCGACAGGGGCACCGTCGGGTCTTGTCTGTTGTCTGATTCCACCAGGCGTCTCCTGGAGGCTGACGACGTCTGACGCTGGCGCGGATGCACAATGGATGGAGTGACAACTCTAGAGTCATGAGGTATTCGCGCCTGGTTGCGGACGGCTGCTTCATACCACTGCTGGCCAACTTGTTCGGCCTGCCGCTGCCGGTGCCATCTCGCGCAGAGGAATTCTTTGGCAATAGCGCAAAGCTTGGGTTGCAATGTTGACAATTGGAACGGCTCTCTGGTGAGAGAGTTAAGCTTTTGATGGCCTAACTTGGTGTCTTCAAGTTTGATCGAGTTTTTGCACGGAGCGCCTTTCTTTGTCATCCCGCAACAGAAGCCAGGACCGCCATTGGGGCTGACTTCTATCTGACAAACAAGAAACGGATTCCAAGGCAGTGTGGTGGACATTGATGCGATCTTCAAAGGTAGAAAATTTTTCGACTTGTTGGTGCTGTTGGGCATTCTCTGCGGCGTTCCTCCGCCAGCTTTATATGCCATCGCCGTAGGCTCCTTGCCTACATGCCTGCGTGGCTGATGGCATGGAATGCTTTCTTGAAACAGTCGATGCGTCGACGAATGCATTAGGATGCAGTATGTGCTAGTATAAGCCAATCAGTGGCTTGTGAGAAGGGATATCATTCCAGATCACTGCTGCCCAGTTCAGCTACAGTTGTGGCTGTGGATTGCGATGAGCATGCATTGGCAGAAGGATTGGCAACTTTTGTTGGTAGCATAGTCGGCAAAATTGAGAGTTGCATCCCAAAAGTCCGAAGTGCATGCAGGTTGTGATTCGCCTCAACGCTTATGGCGATAGATGCGTTAAGTGGTACTAAGAGAGATTCGGTCTCCCGGGGCCCTTGACACGCCACCAGGAACAACTTTGGTGTTCCCAGGAGCTAGACTCTAGAGATTCTCCACAAACATTGTGGGCAAGGCTTTGATGCTCCCGTGTGATGGCTACGCACCTCTCAACGGAGCCACAGGCTACGCTCCTAGCGGACCATGGGATTTAGCCGAGGCGAGTATATAAAGGCCTCCCATGTTCTCACATCTCTCACCTCACCCTCGCCTACGCTTCATTTGCTTCTAGCTCAAATCCACTGTCCAATTATGGTCTGTTTCAATTCATTCTTACCGGGCTTACCGATGAGCTAATACATTATAGCTGAACATCAGAGACCTGCCCAACGAGCTTTTGCTGTGGATTGTGTCGCATTTGGATGGTAGTGCGATGTTCGCCCTTGCAAAATCATGCAAAGACCTCGATCTTAGACTCCAGCCCAGCATCTGGAGATATAACATCAAATTCCAGAACAGCAACCTGTTGCACCTGGCCGTCAAAGACGACAATGTTAATCTTGCGGCGGTTTTGCTCCAGCACAATGCCAACATCAATGCCTTTTACCGAGGGAAAACACCGTTGATGAGGGCGTTTCAATACTCTTCCGCTGCAATGCGTGAGCTGCTGCTCAATCGTCGAGAGCTAGACCTCAACATTCATAATCAAGCGCGCGAAACCGCGCTGTGGTATGCCATTCACTATGGAAATTACTCCATGGTCAACAGACTTTTAGAACACCCCAAAGTCAGAGTGGACATCAAACACAAACACGGCCGAACGGCGCTGCACCTAGCGGTCTTCGCTGGCAGGATAGAGTTCGTACATATTTTGCTGTCAAGAGGTAGCAACCCTGATCTACAGGATGATTCAGGCGACTCACCGTGGGCCTGGGCACGCCATTTCAATAGACCCGTGATGAAAATGATTCTTTCCAAAGACCCCGACTCCGACTTGTTTCTTGGAAATCAATCATCATGGGACGCTCCGCTACCGCTGCATCAAGCAGTCGCCCATGGTTCTGTCGCCGCTGTCCGGCGGCTTCTTAGACGAAAAGATCCGGCGCTAGACACCCAGGACCGGAAAGGTTATACGCCGATCCATCTCGCCATCGAATGCAATCGCCCTGAAGTGGTCGATTTGCTCCTGCGTCACCCGCGTGCCAATGTGAACTGCACAGATAAAGATGGAAATACGCCGCTTTGGCTTTCCACTTACTCGTCTTCCTTTGAGATAACCGAAAGGCTGTTGGCCGAGAAAGACATCAACGTTAATTTTATTGGGGGCCGTGGGAGATTCGAAATGCCGTCTACATCTCTACACCACGCCGCGATCAGATTGGATACCATGCTTCTACGGCGGCCGCTTGCGGTGCCAGAGATCGATCCGAATCTCTGCGTTGCAGGTCACTCTCCAATCTCCATTGCCGCATCCCGCGGATGCGTGAGCACGGTTGCTTGTCTGCTGAGTATGGGGAGCGTGGAGATCAATGGGATGGGCATCATAGATCCGCCAATCTGTCAAGCGGCTGCACACGGCCATCATGATGTGGTCCGGCTATTAGTGCAAGAAGGCACACGTCTGAACATCAATGAAAGCACGATCGTATCCCACGACACTGCACTCTGCATTGCTGCCCGTGCTGGTGACTTGGAGATGGTCCAGGCACTCTTGTCCCATCACCAAATTGATGTCAACCTCCGGAATGAATATTTCGAGGATCCGTTGATGTTGGCAGTCAAGGGTGGATGGCAAACACCAGACTCCAATCCTTCAGTTTAAAGAGATCGCTTGAGCTAGCAAGAGACGACTGCATCAAGAGTGCTATTCGGAACAGAATGGAATCCAACAACTCTCGTCAAACATCGTTGAGGCGGTCTCCGAGGATGAAGTTTGGTCGTCTGGAGAGTTAGGGACATCTACATATGTCGTGATGCAACACCAGAAGGCTGTTCTCAGCATCGCTTGCCATGAACTATCGGAATTAACTATTTTCATCCCTCCGTTGAACAGGTTTATTCACAGTAATGCCACGTTCAGCTCCACCGAAGCCTACCTGTTTACACCATCCAATCATCAAAACTGGACTTGCAAACTATAATCAAGTGCCCCTGCAACTCTTTTTTTTCTAGATCAAATCTTGTGTCCATTTTCACATTAAATTGAGTAAGTCGAGGTAAGCGGTAGGTTAGTTCGAGCGTGAACAGTTGGGGTAAACGTTGATCAAACCGTTCAGTCACTTTTGAAGGCGGTCGAGTTCAGGCCGGGACGGTCATGGGTGGCAATGACAGCAGCCTTAGGGTGACCGCTGGGCTATAAAAGGCCCTCGAGTACAATGTACTTTGCATTTTATTCCAAAGGCTGCGATGGAACATCCAACTCCGCCTTCTCCATGTGACCGGCCAGCCAAGAGACAGTGCTGGTCTTCCCACGATCCAGAAAATGATAGCAACCTGCAAAGCCACCATCAGCAATTTGCAAATCCTGTGGCCATTGAGTTTGAGGCTAGTCAGCACTTTGTAATGGTGTTGTTTCAGCTTTGCAATCGAGCAATACTCAAGCCTACCACGTTGATGGGCCTTGATGACTCTTGGTTCTATTGAGCGCTAGTGAAGACGGTCGCTTTTTGCTGGCTATTTTACTTATCTTTGCTTTATTCTGACTATAATTTCTCTTTCTGAATCCTATCCGATCACCGGTGAAATTCTGTTGGATGCGGCGATGGAATCAACATTTCACCGCCGTTGATGCATCAAAAGTTTGACATTCGAGAACATAGCGTCGGCCATGAACTGGGATCAGATTATAATTAAATTTCCTGCTCACACTATGGTACAGTAGTCTGTTTCTCTCACTCTCTTCCAATTGCTAATTCTACTCTTGTGTTTATTCCACCCGCCTTTGACAGCGAGTCTAGAGCAACAACGAATAGGTCAAGCACAAACGGTCTGTACTTATTCTTCCTCTGCTTTTTTGGTGCTAAATTTGGTAGAGTGTGATTTGGATCTCGATCTCCACGCCATCTGGCAGGAGTCCTCTGGCATACCAACACCACCTCCTTGTCTCGCTACCGACCACGAACAACCTCGGCAGATTTTCTCGGACGAAAGTGAGCCTACTGGATATGCGGTTTCAAGACCATCCTCAATCGAAAGCTTTTTGCTTCCCACTCACGATAACGACAAGCTGCCGGTCTTCCAGTGGGTGGGTCCAGATCCTCTGCCCGCGTCTACTCAGGCTAATGACATGTTCTTCTTCATGTCGGCGTTCGCTTTCCCTGCCAAAGTGCACTACATAGAGTTTTGATTGGTCCTATTTTACCAGAAGTCTGGCGAGATGACAGAAGAGCGTATTTTCTTTCTTCGCCAAGTTGAGACGGCCGCGTGGAGCCTCTGTCGGATACGCGGAGAGCTGCCAGATGTGATCTCCTGGCACGGATTTGACGCAACAGCCATTGGCTTTCGACTGTTTCTGTGGCCCCGCATGAAGTCTCTTGAATACTCAAGTCAACCAACCGTCCCTCCGCTAGGTGCACTTCCGACGACACTGTCCCTGAATCCGAAGTCTTTTGTGCATAACATAGTGGGGGGCTACAGATGAGATCAGTCCAGAATACGGGGATTGTTCGCGGACAAGGAATAAAAATCACTGCCCATGCTGTAATTCTCTTTGAATCACAATATTATTGTAGTGCTGAATCTATCTCTGAGAGGTAATCCCAAATAGCCGATCTTCACTCTCCCCCTGCATTATCCAAGAGCCCTGCCAGATTGAGTCTGAAAAGGGTAGTTCCAGTCATCAAGTATGCTAGTCAGTCGCTCCCGAAACGATGCTAGTGCTCGCTCAAAAAAGCGCAGCCGGGCGAGTTGTTTGTCGTGGCGAAGCTGAAGACCATCTCTCTTTGTTCTCAGGTGCGCACCAGCCTCCTCCAAAAGAAGATTCTCCCGCTCTAGCCTCTGGCAATCGACATGCTTGGACACGCACGACTCCCATAAGCGTCGATATAGTCCGACAAGTCGAGCAGCTGGAAAGGCGAGGTTTGGATCGTCCCGCTCGATGTCAGCAAGCACCTTCAGAATGTCTTCAAAGGGCTCGGTGGTCAGGGGGTGTCTGGCGTCTGCGTTTTGTTGTGAGGAGGGCTATGGTGGTCAGCAAAGTATTTAAAGCCGATTTTCGTTTCACTTACCAATGGGACGTGGTCAGAGGTTTCCACTGAGTTGTCTTTCTCGCCAGGGTTGGGCAAGTCACTGGGCTGCCGATCTCCAATTTCTGTCGAGTTGTTTTGCGCTTCCATTTTGTCCGCAAGAGAAAGTCAAGGATGTTGGCAGTATCATTTCCACCGGTCTTGGTATCTCTTATAGACTATGCAGAAGCAGGTGACTAGGTGACTATGCATGGGATCCTAACAGTTGATTGGTGCGGTCAACCTTAGAAATTGATTGCTCTCTGTTGGAATTTTATCATTTGATTTGATTGAAGGGTGACGTTCAACCAATCGATCAGGGAAAATGATCAAGTCTGACGGCGTTGAGGGTCAGGTATGAACGCTCTTTGAGATATATATTTCAACCAGAGACATTTTGTATCTTTGATGAACGGCTCAGAAATCAAATCTATTAATACAATTTTTAGAACTCATGGTCACAAACCGAAAAAAAAATGAACAAAAAAACAAAAAAACAAAAAAAGTCTTCATGGTCGCAAGTTCGAAAATTGAGTGTTGACGACGTGTAGCCAGGCTTCAACGGGTTGCACACCCGCACATCCGACCGTGACTGCAAATCGCTTTCTGCAGTCTGAAAAGACAGACCCACATCAACACAACCCCACAGTACTTCAACGAGGCAAAGAAAAAAGTCAGCAAATTTGAGGGATAAAATTGTAGACGCTTTTAGTTGATCAACGTTGAGTGGCTCGCGTATGAGAAATCAGAAAATGAAAATGAGGGTGACATTGCATTTCCCACACGCCTCAGTCAAAGAGGGCGTCAAGATTCAACAGTTGAACTACCCAACATGTCTTGGCCGACTCAACTTTTTTTTCAACATCACTCTCAATTATCACTCTCGCTGAGAATCCAAAGCCATCAAGTATGTTGTTGAAATATTTGCAGTAAAATGAAGACACTGGCTTCAACAGGGTTCCATTAGGAGAGGTGTTTCCTTCAATCGAGCAGCGCGCGTAGTACACAGGGCAAGGACTAGCCCAGAAGTCTATAAATACATGCTCCTCCCCCGGCAATCTGCTCTACAATTCATTCACTTCACTCTCCAAAGTCCTGCAGGATTATGTCTGAGTCGCCTGATAAGTTCTCTGCCTTGGCCCAGAAGAATTTCCACCTGACATTGATAGGATACATTACAGTGTGTGACAGGTACAAGTATGATTTTCATTTAATGCACTGCCACTCGAGCCAGCTAATCAAAGGTACGAGCCTTGGGTAGCTGGTCACAGTTTCTATTCGCATATACGTCCCTTACAGCAGCGCGCTAGTTGATCCACTGTACTGCCACTGTGTGAGCTCTCACGACATGGGCAGATATCGCATCGCAGGTACGTCAGCAATGAATGAAGACATGCGCAGCTTGAATTACGAGAGCCCTCCTTGCTGCTCTCTTCCATGAGTCACCTTGCTATGATGATTTTAATATCAAATGGCCCTAACATGATTCAAGTTCTTCCAAATCAACCACTAGATGGGAGCCTCCGATGTGGCGAGGGGCGCCAATTGCGTCCTCTTCCCTGAATTTTGCCGTGCCCCTCTCGTGTTCCTTTCAACTTGTTCACCGCAAAAGATGCTTTGGTTCCCAACCTGGACCCCAGGACACTGCTGACTCAACTCTCCGCGGCCAGCTGCCGATTAAATCGTCGCACCCCCTTCACCAGCCAACTGGGCCCAAATTTCTGACAAGAGGGCTTTGACATGCAAAAGTCTGGTGCAGGAGACTAGCCCAATGACCTCTGTCAGAAAGAAACCATGGCCTTGTGGCCCCGCAAAACCTCAACCGCAAAGCTTCGCAGGTATGTGAATTCTAATCTGGCCTGTCTCACTGATCCTGAAGACGATGCGATTGAATTAGAATATAGTGCATTAGAGCAAATGCTCAAGCACAGAGAACACAGCTGTTTGCCGTCCTTTCGACCATGGTGCTTACCTCCAAACATGTGAGTGATGAAATATCCCTCCGGTCTACACGCTCATGAATGACAGTGAACCATTGACATCTCATCAGATGACCCGACGGTATAGCACCCTTTGAGTGCCCAGTACAAGCCACGGCCTTCTTACTGGTCCCAACCTCGTCGCTCCAAATTAGCTAGCATGCGCTAGGCAAAGGAGGAGCCCGCCAATAACAGGTGCACATACTAGATTGCAAGGCTCGCTGCATGAAAGCTTGAGGCGTTCATTGTCTCTGACAATGTGAGTGACCATCGCTTGCGCTAGGCTATGTCAGTTTCTGTGCGGGCTCTTGTGCTCTCAAAAATGAGCGTCCTTGCTGATCTTTATTTTTCAATGTAGGAGCCCATTTTCACCCGTCAAACAGCCTTGTGGGTAGTCCTTATCGATGCATCAGAGACAAGACCAGGGGTCATTACGACGCGTGCTCCATCGGGTTTTCGGCCTCACCGCCTTCAATCCATGAAGAGCGGAGTTTCTGGCCTTCCGGATATCCATTGCGACTATATACTTGCCATCCTGGTGAGTCCATGAATCCCTATGCTGCCTAAGAGAATGCGCGTTGCGCCGCAACCCGCCTCTTTTGGGATGACGGCCGGAGAATGCGACGGACCAGAAACAACATAGCATGAATACTGTAAGTGATCTGTTGGCGAGCTCATAAGATCGTGAAGTTTACAGTACTGATTGTCTCATATCAAGCGTACACATAGTGCCCTCTGCGAAGTCTGAATGGTAAACCTCAAAAACTCGTCCAAGTGTAAGTCTTGCTGACTGGGATCCTACATTAGGACGCCACTTGTGTTCTCATCACTCGAGTCAAATGCGAAGCAAGCGAAAGCCATGTTTGCTCGAGCTCCCTATACCGATTCGAACGCATGCTATCTATCCGTCCCATTACCCTACTCGCCGCATCGATGATGAGTCGCTGTTAGGAGCAGATCGTGTACCTTGGCCCTTCTCTCAGTCGACTTTGTGCAGTAGGACTTGTGCTGATGTGTGTCAGCATATAAATGCAGGGGAAAAAGCCCCTTTGTGGATTGAATTACTGGCGTGGAACGGGTGAACCTCTTCGTATCTCCCTTTTTTTTCCAATCCTGATGCTCCAAAAGACCCGGGGAACTGGTGTTTATGTCTTTCTTGATGGCAGTTGAGCCATATCTTCACAGACAGCCAGGTCGTTCGCCAAGTCTGTGTGCAAAGACAAGGTGAGGCATATGTGCCGTCATTTCGAGCCTACGGATTAACATTGTCATCAGCTATGAACCGAGAAAGGAGACCATCCGGTCCCGAGCCACGGTCGAGTCACGGCCGATTTAATTTAAGGGCCAAGGGCCACGAGCCAGCGATCACCGGCCGTTGCTGACCTGTCTGATCCAACACCGCATTGCTCAGCCAAAGCGAGTGGGAAAGGACTAATCGGTTATATATGACGCCCCATCGAGCGCGTGTCAAATTTTGTGGTGTCTTTGCACAAATCATGGTATATTTGATGCTTTCGTACGCTGTTTTCTTCCAAATCCCGAGCCACATGCACAAAACCCATTACCCTGGACAACTTTGCAGATACAGGTCAGTCAGGTCTAGAGATATCATTTTCTCGCTAATATCGTTTTCTAACACGTAGCACGCAAGCAGCCTTTTCCAGGAGCTGACCCAGTTCTCTGGGTCTTCTACTTTGACTGTCCTTGAGCATTGATTATTTGTCAGATACACCGCGTTTGTGATTGGTATATCACTGTTCAAGCACAGTATTTGTGAAGGTGGCATTGATATCCGTCACAAGCCCGCCAAGAGCTATCCTCTGCGCGACCTCGGACTATCCATGACAGCCTTTGCTGAAATTTTATACCCTCAATGAGCATTCACCGGTTGCTTTCGGGGGGAAGAGAGACATGTCTGCTGCGGCTCCAAGCCAAGTGGATCAGTCGGTGGAGTCATATTTACCTGACCTAGTCAAGATGGCGCTTGCTAGACTCAATCGGGCTGATACATATTTTCTTTAAAGTAGTGTATGCTCGATCGCGTGGTTTGGGGTACTACACCCAAAAGGATTGGTCGCCAATTCCAGTGCGGTGTGGTTGTTGCATGGGTGATTGGCTCGCACGATACACTGATGTTACTAGGGGCAACTACGTACAAACGTGCGACGGTTGGCATTTGTCAAAGGAGCCGACTGAATGGCTTTGAGTCAGGGCCCTCGATTACTTGGTTGTGTTTGTTGCGAATCCACGTTGTGATTGTAGGCATTCTACGGCATAGTAGGGGTGAGTGACTTGCAAGCCAGCTGAAGCGGCAAATTAGAATGCGCGAGGAACAGTCCATCGCATGACCATGGTTATTCGAGCAGCAAACCCTATTTCGAGCGCTCCTCATCAGAGGCTTCTTTGATGCCTAAAATGTGTGATCGTGGGCGTTTGCCTGATTACAGCTTCACTCATTGCGAGAAATTAGCTAGCTTTTAGCATGAAATTGAATCCTGTGGGCCTACGGATGAGGAGTCTCCATTGGTGAAAGTGTCATGCTTGAACAAGAGGATACACATATTTCCGTGTATATGAAGTATATATACTTACGTGCTGACGCTCACAAAGCCTCTAAGTGCCAGAATAGTACAAATTCCTAATCATACCATGGTTTTTCTAAGAATATCCCATGCAGTCATCTCTATAGTATATCCAATATTGTCCATGACTTTCATTAACAACTCGTTGTCGTTAAATATCATGTCTTGGTTCCTGGAGCAGTTGAACCCCCGAATTGGGCACGGAAAAGTCGGGCCGAGACCCGGGCCAGAACATGCACAAAAGACGACATTAGTCAGCAGTATGAATGCCACCCATTGTGGTGTGCATAGAAACAGACTTGGTGTGCACTCTACTTCACCGCCTGGCCATTTCCCACCGAACACACGTTCATACTACTGTCAACGCTCATCCCTACCAGTATTAACGCCATCATCGTTTATCAACACCGTCAACGTTTATCAACACCGTCAGCGTTTATCAACACCGTCAGCGTTTGTCAAGACCACCAACGTTTATCAACATCCACCAACCATCATCGACATTCATCAACGGTCAACAACATCCATCAACGCTCATCAACCACCAACA